TTCATTTCCACAGTTACTACACCTTGCTTCACTTTCAGGAATCCTTAAATGTAAGCTTTGTTGAAAGATTTCTTTAACAATGTAGTTAGGTATGATCCTTACCAAATTGATTTTCAGGCATTTGTAGGTATTTTAGGCACTGCTCTAGTTCCTTGCCTGCACTTCAATTTCCAATCTGTGCAATCCCTGTGGGCACGTGGGTACCCAAAATTGGGGAATCAAATCGGCGGCCTCTAGCAATGTTGAGACCAACCGCTTCTCTTGCTTCAGCCCTAAATTTATTAGTTCAAGGTGTGAACTTTGTCTGACCTTGAACATAGTGTATCAAAAAGAAAAGCAACAGAGAAAGAATGAAGATATTGGTATCCTATTATACTTTTGAGGTATTAGGCTGATGATAGAGAACATTGTCTCCCACTATGAGACAAATTTGATGTATGACTAATCATCAACAGAAAACATGAATTTTATGGGGTGATATCATTTTTTATGCAAGCATTAAAATGTAAACGAAACATTTTCTTTGAGCAAAAGCTAAATTTTAGTTACATTAATTCTCGCCCTTTGCTTTTGCAGCCCAAGTAAGCTCAATACCTATAGTTGATGATAATGACTCGTTACTGGATATATATTGTCGGAGGTCTGTTGTGCTCTATATCCTTATTATTGTTACACGTCATGATGCCTAGTTTAATATACTATCTCTTAGTCGTATGGTTCAAGCATTATTTCTCCTAGCTTTTGTTCTTTGCATGGGTTGTATAATCTAACTTTTCCACCCCATCATTCTTTATTGGCAGTGACATAACAGCTTTGGCGAAGAACAGAGCGTATACACATATTAATCTTGATGAAATGACTGTTCATCAGGCAAGTTCTTTTTCATCATTTTGCATACCTATAAACTGCCAACAATCAATGTTTTTAACACATATATGTTCTGATTTCATCTTTTCCTCATTGACTTGGGATGTTTATTGAGCCTACTAGCCTAGGGGACGCGGATGATCTTAAGAATTTGTAGATTTATTTAGCACCCTTTCTGTAATTATTTTTCTTTTAAAAAGCAATGTTTAGTTGACATTATATAGCACAAGGTTAGCTAGAAGGTTTTGATTTAGGGGTTTGGTCTTGTTGAAATATATAATTTCCTTTATTCTTAAAGTAATGTAGCCTCATATCATGAATAACATTTGAACATGTGTTTTTTTTTTCTTGACTATTTGCTGCTGAGTAGATCCTGTGGATGATACTCACTAAACTTGATGAATAAATAGATTCTTAAGTAATATCTAGTATGATATGGAATTTGATTATTTTTTTCCCTTCAAACATTAAGGTCAAAAAGGCTTTGATTTAGGTGTCTGGTCTTGGTGAAATATACAATTTCCTTTATTTTTAAAATAATGTAGCCTCATTTCTTGAATAACAGTTGATTATATGTTTATTTTTCTTGACTATTTGCTATTGAGTAGATACAGTGGATGACACTCAATAGACATTGATGACTAAATAGATTCTTACGTAACATTAAGGAAGTTGGGTAATTTGATATTTGTTTTTCGAACATTAATGTCGATGCCAAGTTGAGGCTCTTTACTTTTTGATGTCAACAGTCAAGGTGCAATATATATGGGAAAAGATTCACTTATGCTGGGGGCAATTCTTGCAAACTACTTTACTTAAGAACTTGTTATATAATATAAATTCCATAAATCCAACCATTGAATTTAGATAAATTGAAATTTTTTTATGTATATAATCTTATAATCAACATTGACGTATATTTTAAAAGTATAATATGTTAAAATAAAGTTGATTGATGAAGTATCAAATAACTTTTATATTAAATATATTCTAAATTATATGAAATTTTGTAGAATTTATCTATAATTAATGAGAGTTCTCTATCCAGCAACTGGATTAAATAAATTCAATGTCTATGAATAGTTAGACAGCCACACACTTGGAATAAGTAAATTTCTCCCCCCAACATCCCTGCATTATCTATTTTTGTGAAATGATCTAATTTCCACAGAAGCCAGTCTATTTGTTAATAGTTCTCATTTTATTTAATCTGTATTAATATAAATGTGTCCTGAAGGCTATTCCTATTATCGAGACATTTTTAATTGCCACATTTTTAAGATTAGGATTGGAATTTTGTTATTGCTCTGATTGTTATATTTTATTTTAATTGAAAATATAAATGTAAGCATCGCTGTCTGCCCATTTTTCTGAGCTAATGTTGCATACTTTATCTATTGATATGAAGGCATTATAGTGGTTTTCTTCTTGTAACCTTATCATTTTTTCTTTTGCATGTTTTTTGGTCCAGGCTTTGCAGTTGGGCCAGGACGCATATAGTCCCTATGAGCTTAGAAGTCAAAGGTGTCAGATGTGTTTGCGTTCTGATTCTCTGCATAAAGTGATGGAACGCTTGGCAAATCCAGGTGTTCTTGTTTTCCCTTTCTGACGTGGCATAGCTCTTAATATAATTTTCTATGCAATTATGTGATTGATTGACTATTAATTCAAAGGTTACCTTTTTCATTTTCTTTTGGTAATTTTGGGTTAGCTTTCGGTTCTTATCAATCTTCATTTGTATATTCTAAGCTTCGTAAAATGTAATATTTTATTTTGTAGACATGTAACCCCAGATTTCATTGAATATGGAGAACAGAAAATTATTTTACTTGACATTTGTATATTTACTATAGTTATGTTGTTTCTGAGTACCTTGGGTTAGCTCTCTTTCCTCCTGCAACATCTGATGGTTTTCCTCAGCCATACTGAAAATAAGTGTTTTTTGTATCCCCTAATCATAGCATTTAACATATTCTACCAAGCTTAGAAGTATGTAATATATTATACTTAGCATTTAACATATTCTGATGGCACCCGCAATGAATGTTCACTAAAAAACTAAATTGAGACATTGGCCTGACTAAAACTGAAAGGAAATTGACTAGAGAACTCTTATTAAAATAATTAGTTGCTCCATATTAGAAAGTGGAAGTAAGGCGAGGCCTAGTCATAAAGCTGTAATAAGACTTTGATATTTTTTGATGGCATAAGCTTTCTTGAGGTTTTGGTATCAGGGTTGGGTACCAAGTGGATGAAATGTAAACGTAAAAGATGAAGTGTTGTATCCATTTTCTTTTTTTGCCTAAATTTCATAGCATATGTTATTTCTTGAGATTTTGGTGATAGAATTGCATACCAGATGGCAATATAAATGATAAAAAGTTGTGTCCAAGTTACAACTGTGTGCAATATCCATTTTGTTTAAGCTTCAATTTTGAGGTTGTCTTTCTGAACGTTCTAATACTGTTGAATGGCGGAGTCAGGTGTGAGGCGGCTTGTGATTGTGGAAGCCGGCAGCAAGCGTGTAGAAGGCATTGTTTCATTGAGCGACATATTTAAGTTCTTCCTTGGTGGTTAGTTTGGATTGGTGAAGAAGTGAAAGGGTCTGTGTAGTGCTTATGACATACAATTAGCCGCCGTGACTTGTCCAGCCATTGAAAGTGCTTTCTACACGGTGATTTTTATCTCATTTCATTGTAATACAATTGGATTGGCCTCTTGCTTTATTGCCTCTTTTTAAGATTTTAGGCTGAGAGAGAGGCCTGTAAATTCAGAGTATTTGATTGCCCCAAAATTTATTCATCTCTCCCCATTCGTATTATCTTCAAATGTATTGTGCTCCTGACAATAGATACCAGCAAGGTGGGGGAGCACAACATCTGTAATCATTCCATGCTGTGAAGATATCAAGTTTGAAGAAAAAAAAATGAGGATGAAGATTGAGATACTGTTGTTTTATATTTGTTGATTAATAATCCTTACTTAGGGTTTGATTGTTTACCTTACTTAAGAATAACTTTAGCCTAAGTAGCTTATCAATAAGGGACCTTTGCATATCAAGTTGTATCATTAGAGTAGCTGATCTGAACAAAAAACCTATAAGCAACAATTGTTTGTACTAGTTTATCTAATAGTAGGACATGTTTAAGCAACAACTCTCTTCGTTTGCATGGGGTGCTGGTAAATTTATACATTCCAAGTCAAAATTTCACTTTCAAATGGAGTAAGGATTAGTTTACAAGTGTGTTAGAAACATCTAATGAATTTGAACAACATATAAATAAGCACTATAAAAGTTCACTTGAGGTCAAAGGAGTTTTTTGAGGGTTGTTAGGAAGAAACTACAATGCATTACATTTAGGTAGATTATTTGTCTTATTAATATTTAATTGTAATATATCAAATTTATTATCATTATTTGTTTTAATTTGTAGTGTTTACATCAATCATGAAGTTATGAGTGAGTACTATATAATGACACATGCACACAATTGTATTCGTAAGTATTAGTGACCTATGGAGAAAAATAATATACAATTAACTCATGCTTTAAATATTTAAATGTGAATGTCATCCTTTATTGATAAAAAGAATATTCATTTTCATTCAAAGATGAAATATTATAAGGATTTAAGAGCACTAAACATTAGTTATTTTAAGTATAAATTCTAGATGATTATGCTATGATTTGGACAATTAATAAATTACTATGGACTTAAATACATTTTTGCGAAGTTTATAATTGATTTTGTACTATTTTATTAGGCTTTTATTTGAAAATATCTACTCAAAAGTGTGTTTGTTATACAGAAAATATTATTGTTCCAGTAAGGAAGTGATTATATCAAACATTTTTTCTTCTTCTTAAAATATTTTTGTATCATTTTAGTATAAATTTATCGTAAAAGGTGTTATTTTCTATTTTTTATAACAGTTCTAATTTTAACCTTAGATAAAATAGAACAAAGTTTATATATTTTTAATGTCTTTTTATGATGAACATCTAAATTTGATATAGATAATATGATAATTGTTTGATCCACGTAAAAAAAATTAAACTTTGTGTTTGCATTTATGTCAATTGATATAAAAGGTCCTTTTTAATTTTACTAAAAACCTGGGCTAGNTTTTCTTTTGCATGTTTTTTGGTCCAGGCTTTGCAGTTGGGCCAGGACGCATATAGTCCCTATGAGCTTAGAAGTCAAAGGTGTCAGATGTGTTTGCGTTCTGATTCTCTGCATAAAGTGATGGAACGCTTGGCAAATCCAGGTGTTCTTGTTTTCCCTTTCTGACGTGGCATAGCTCTTAATATAATTTTCTATGCAATTATGTGATTGATTGACTATTAATTCAAAGGTTACCTTTTTCATTTTCTTTTGGTAATTTTGGGTTAGCTTTCGGTTCTTATCAATCTTCATTTGTATATTCTAAGCTTCGTAAAATGTAATATTTTATTTTGTAGACATGTAACCCCAGATTTCATTGAATATGGAGAACAGAAAATTATTTTACTTGACATTTGTATATTTACTATAGTTATGTTGTTTCTGAGTACCTTGGGTTAGCTCTCTTTCCTCCTGCAACATCTGATGGTTTTCCTCAGCCATACTGAAAATAAGTGTTTTTTGTATCCCCTAATCATAGCATTTAACATATTCTACCAAGCTTAGAAGTATGTAATATATTATACTTAGCATTTAACATATTCTGATGGCACCCGCAATGAATGTTCACTAAAAAACTAAATTGAGACATTGGCCTGACTAAAACTGAAAGGAAATTGACTAGAGAACTCTTATTAAAATAATTAGTTGCTCCATATTAGAAAGTGGAAGTAAGGCGAGGCCTAGTCATAAAGCTGTAATAAGACTTTGATATTTTTTGATGGCATAAGCTTTCTTGAGGTTTTGGTATCAGGGTTGGGTACCAAGTGGATGAAATGTAAACGTAAAAGATGAAGTGTTGTATCCATTTTCTTTTTTTGCCTAAATTTCATAGCATATGTTATTTCTTGAGATTTTGGTGATAGAATTGCATACCAGATGGCAATATAAATGATAAAAAGTTGTGTCCAAGTTACAACTGTGTGCAATATCCATTTTGTTTAAGCTTCAATTTTGAGGTTGTCTTTCTGAACGTTCTAATACTGTTGAATGGCGGAGTCAGGTGTGAGGCGGCTTGTGATCGTGGAAGCCGGCAGCAAGCGTGTAGAAGGCATTGTTTCATTGAGCGACATATTTAAGTTCTTCCTTGGTGGTTAGTTTGGATTGGTGAAGAAGTGAAAGGGTCTGTGTAGTGCTTATGACATACAATTAGCCGCCGTGACTTGTCCAGCCATTGAAAGTGCTTTCTACACGGTGATTTTTATCTCATTTCATTGTAATACAATTGGATTGGCCTCTTGCTTTATTGCCTCTTTTTAAGATTTTAGGCTGAGAGAGAGGCCTGTAAATTCAGAGTATTTGATTGCCCCAAAATTTATTCATCTCTCCCCATTCGTATTATCTTCAAATGTATTGTGCTCCTGACAATAGATACCAGCAAGGTGGGGGAGCACAACATCTGTAATCATTCCATGCTGTGAAGATATCAAGTTTGAAGAAAAAAAAATGAGGATGAAGATTGAGATACTGTTGTTTTATATTTGTTGATTAATAATCCTTACTTAGGGTTTGATTGTTTACCTTACTTAAGAATAACTTTAGCCTAAGTAGCTTATCAATAAGGGACCTTTGCATATCAAGTTGTATCATTAGAGTAGCTGATCTGAACAAAAAACCTATAAGCAACAATTGTTTGTACTAGTTTATCTAATAGTAGGACATGTTTAAGCAACTCTCTTCGCTTGCATGGGGTGCTGGTAAAGTTATACATTCCAAGTCAAAATTTCACTTTCAAATGGAGTAAGGATTAGTTTACAAGTGTGTTAGAAACATCTAATGAATTTGAACAACATATAAATAAGCACTATAAAAGTTCACTTGAGGTCAAAGGAGTTTTTTGAGGGTTGTTAGGAAGAAACTACAATGCATTACATTTAGGTAGATTATTTGTCTTATTAATATTTAATTGTAATATATCAAATTTATTATCATTATTTGTTTTAATTTGTAGTGTTTACATCAATCATGAAGTTATGAGTGAGTACTATATAATGACACATGCACACAATTGTATTCGTAAGTATTAGTGACCTATGGAGAAAAATAATATACAATTAACTCATGCTTTAAATATTTAAATGTGAATGTCATCCTTTATTGATAAAAAGAATATTCATTTTCATTCAAAGATGAAATATTATAAGGATTTAAGAGCACTAAACATTAGTTATTTTAAGTATAAATTCTAGATGATTATGCTATGATTTGGACAATTAATAAATTACTATGGACTTAAATACATTTTTGCGAAGTTTATAATTGATTTTGTACTATTTTATTAGGCTTTTATTTGAAAATATCTACTCAAAAGTGTGTTTGTTATACAGAAAATATTATTGTTCCAGTAAGGAAGTGATTATATCAAACATTTTTTCTTCTTCTTAAAATATTTTTGTATCATTTTAGTATAAATTTATCGTAAAAGGTGTTATTTTCTATTTTTTATAACAGTTCTAATTTTAACCTTAGATAAAATAGAACAAAGTTTATATATTTTTAATGTCTTTTTATGATGAACATCTAAATTTGATATAGATAATATGATAATTGTTTGATCCACGTAAAAAAAATTAAACTTTGTGTTTGCATTTATGTCAATTGATATAAAAGGTCCTTTTTAATTTTACTAAAAACCTGGGCTAGAGTAGTACCATTAAATAGATTATCTATTGGAAGTGCAGTAAGAAGTTTTAAATACTATTACTGTCTTTGTTTTTTGTTCTCTAACTAATTTTCATTTGACCAAACTATATAAATTCTTGTTGAAAACATTATAGTATACTAGTGAAAAAAACAAAACACATGGACGCATGTGTATCTATTTCTTTTATGAAAACAATAAATAAAAAATATAATTATAAATTAAATATTATAATATTTCAAAATACAAATTATTTTGAAAGAATATAAAATGTTTTTTTGTTAACTTTTATAGTATTATATCTAAAGAAGATTTAAGAATAATTACTATTTGCTATAGGTAGCTTTTAAAATAATAACATTAATAGAATTTACTTTATTAATAAAACAAAATTAACAACAATGCATACTAAAAATGATTAAAAATTAATTATAAAGTAAAATTCTTTATATTAATAGCTATAAATGATAGACTGTTTATTACACTCTTTAAATTTTAAATAAATATTAAATGAGTCGCGTACAATAAATTAAATTGATTTCAAACTAGAAGGGATAAAGAGTAACTAGGATTTGAAGAGAGACAGACTCACAGCAGATTTTTCCCCAAATCGAAATGGTCAAAGAAATTGAAACTCTGACAGAAGATGAAAGACGTGCACTTCGCGGAAGCAAATTTGCTCCTCTTCCTAGAACTTCCAGTTCCAAACCTAGGTTGGCCTCTTTCTTTCTTTAGGGTTTTTGCCCCCTTTTCAATTTTACACTTCATTGTGAACCTCATGATCAAATTTTTTATTTTGAATTCACAGTTTCACTTCTTGCTCCTTTAGTTTTAGTGGGTCTGGCTTGAATTTTTGATTGGTGGTTTCTTTGACAGATTGGCTCATCCCGGTGGACCCTTGGCAACGAATAAAGCAGCGGCATTGGCGAAGTTTCTTGAGAGAAAGCTGAAGGACCCAAATGGGTTGGCATCTATTAATCCTGATCTCCTTGAACTGGCTGTAAATAATGCCAAACAAACTGTCCATGCAAGTAACTCTTCTAACTCTATCTCTCTTTTCTTGTAAGGCCTTTGTCTTGAATTTTAATTTTTTGGTGTTTTTATACATTTATTTAATCATAGATTGTGATATATGATAAGTTTACAGTGTTTTGCAATTATATCTTTAAAGTCCTATATGATGATTTTTTTTATTAGTTGACAATGTTGAATTTTTTTACCTCAGAATTTTTTGAAGTTGTGCTTATATTTTGTGTATTAGATCAGTTGCTTATGTTTCGTTGATTTAATCATAACTTGGTTTCTATACTCTTTGATATTTTGCTGTTTTGACCTTATAGACCTTATAGGTACAGATTGTAAGTTTAAGACTATTCACACGAATGTATTTTGATGTGTTTTGGACTCTACCCTCAGTTGTCTTCAACTCTGATAACTTTGACAGCTTCTGGCGCTATTAAATTGTCTACCGATGTAAAATTGTCAGAAAATTTTCTATGGTGGAGGAAGAATTTGACCGTATTACACAGCAAAAAAGAGTTTTGCAGGGGTCTTAACAGCAATACCAACACTACAAACACTACAAGCCACTTTAGCAACTATGTACATGACAAAGTAGTAGGACCAAACAAATTAAATTTACTTGTTCGGTGACTAAGTTTGGAATTTTTACATGTAGGACCAAAACAACAAAGTGTGGATTATTGACTGAATTAATAATAAAGACTGCTATTTATTTGGTTATTAAGTTGTTGTATGAGATATTCAGATTTCATTAGACTTGTTATTTATGTTGAGTGTCGTTTTGCTTCTGATAATTTGACGCATATATGTTCAGTAAAAACAATATCATTTCTGTAATGTTAGGCATAATCTTTTCTGTTGGATTTTGGTTTCTAGTTTCCTTATCCCATGTCTTTAATTTAATTTAAGTTATATTGATTAAGTGTAATATTTTATGGTTCCCTGCAAACATTAGGTGGTACTTCGAATTTTCAAAGAACTATTCGGCATGTGGACTCCTTTGGTGACTTCGATTCTAAGGTTCTTCTTCATTGTTGTTGATGGTGTCTGAACATTTGTTGAGATATCTGCCTTTTTCACTTTTTCACTTTCTCAGTTTGTTATCGATGTTGATAGGATTCTAGCGAAGATGAACTGAACGAGCTATCTGAGGTAAAGGAATGCAAGAGAAAGAAGAAAAAGAAAGAGAAAAAGAAGAAAGAAAAAAAGAAAAACAAAAAGCGAAAGGTCTCTGCTTGCTAATGTCACTGGTTATTTACCTTGAGACTTTTTCCATTCACGTAATTAGGTTTGTTTTGCTGCAGAATGCTGAGGTCCTTGGATGTGCAGTGATGAAGAAGCCTAAACAGAAGTTTAAATTCTGATATTACTTGTACTAGCAAATTTTTGAAATAGAGGATTGGTGCCAAAAATTTTTAGTCATGGTTTTCTTTCCTCGCCCAAATTTGTTAGTTACAAGTAAATACCCAGCAGTTGATGGAATGCTGTGACAGAGCTTTTTTATTGTATCGATATTCCCCCCAAGCTACAACATAGACCACAAACTTTTTTTATTTGATTCTTTCAAGGTATACTGCTGGAAGGAATTTGGGTGAAAACAACTCTAATTTCCAAAGGTTAAGGATGGTGAAAATGCACATAGGGTGGTGCTATTTTGATCTTCGATGTCTACACTTCCTTTTGTCCATCCTCTCTTTCAGTATTGTATTGTATTTTTCTGTTATTTTTTATCCCTTGTTCGTTTTCTTGATACTCATCTCTGTTTTCTATTTTGCAAAAAGAATAAACTCTAGATTTGATTTTATTTGATCCTACTTTATATTTTGCTCTTTCCACACGTATATGCATTAGTTCTGTTGTATATGCCATAGATACAAGTAGGGTTGTTTCTTATGAGATGTGCAAGAAGCATTTTTCTTGCTAAAAGTATGCAGACAGAATCAGGTTCAGTTATGTAAATGGTTGAAGTAATTAAGAGCAAATGATTGCTCTTAATATGATAGTCCTTTAAGTATATTTAGAAGGTTTCTATGGCAGATATGAATATGATTGCTACTTGATTGTAGTTTAGCTCACTTTTTGTTGTCATGGTAATATCAATCAATTATATAGTCAAAAAATTATATAACATTTTGACATGCGGGCAGGTTCTTCCCTGCAGCTCCATAAATTCCCCCTGCACTCTAATATACAAAATAAAAATAAAAAATCTTTTTTTGTCTTTTTTTTTATTGTGTAATTTGAAATTAAAAAATGATTTTCAGATTGTCAATTTCAGAAACTTTTTGAATTATGTAATCTAAAAGTCAAAAATGATTTTTGGACCGAATAATCTAGAAGTTATGTGTAATTTGGAAGTTATTTTTATTTTTTCAAAAAGGGCTTTTAAATTGTATAATCTGAAAAAATAAAAATTATTTTCAGACTGAAATGCAAAAGATATAAAATATAAGTATGTATAGTTTTGAGTCATATTGATCAATCTCAGTGGCATGATGGTAAGTTGATCTCTGAACAATTTTCAAGTCCTAGTTTCAATAGTTTGGTTGTGCCCTTTTCCTTAAACCTTTCATTAAAGCCTGCATTTTAAGAAACTAATAAACAGTCACCTGTTCCCAAAAAAACGAATTTTCAAAAAAGAAAAAAGTCTGTTTGAATATCTCGAAAGTTGTTTAACTAAAAGATCGTAATCACTGTATGTGACATGGTAAGCATGTTGAACAGTACAAGTTTATTGAGCATCCCGCTTAATCAAAACTAAGATAATGCCTTGTGTACTGCAAAAGTGAATCACAAAGTCGAAAGCTTTTCATTTATTCTATATTGATCTCTTCGGCAAAAGAATCACAATTTCCTCCTTTTGTTGGTGTTTTTCTTGTCCTCAAAGTTACCATTGTGATTAACATTTAGCTCCTCAGCAGCATTTTTTCCCTGTTCTTCCAGTGCTTTTTTGACAAAAACGTTTAGTTTCCATACTGTGTAGTCGGTCTGCATAAAGTAGTCAAATTGGTTAACAGCACCAAAGCACGTGCTATACAAAACAACTTAGTATAGTCAAGACAAAATTATCAAAAAATGAATGAGAACAAACTTTGTTAGCCATAGAGTAACGTTGTAAACCTGATTATCAAGGTCAAGGTTCACTTCTAGATCATTAGGTTTGAAGGTTGGGTCATTCTCAGAAATTATCTGCAATGCCTTGTTGAGATTTTCAAAATTCAGTCTGCTGAAAGACTTAACAAGTTCCAGTTTCTCACGAATCGATATTTTCCTGCAGTATTGCCAACAAAGTAACAATGCAGAGTTAAATGACACATGTATCAAAGTCATGTATTTAAAGGATCAAATTATGAAAAAACAAATATTTATGGACCACATATTGCTGGACTAAATAATACACTGGTATCTGCATTAGTCCTTGTGAATGGTCACTTTCTAAAAATAATCAATTCATGCACGAATAAAAATTACAATTCATACTCAAATCTGAAAGATTATCAGAACTTAATCACTTATCCCAATGAAGTGTCAACTAGATTAGTTAATTTTTTTATCGGCAAATATTAGTTACTAGTTTTTTTATTGGAAGAATTGAACCCACAACCTTTTCCATTTTTCTTTCAAAACCCTTCAAATCTAATTCAAAAACATTTATTTCCTAAGCAATGAACAACGAAGAACACCAAAATGACACTCTTAATACAAGCAACGACAAAAGCCTTATCACACTAGCTGGGATCGACTATTTGCAGCACAAAACTCCATTTGGCTCTCAATACTAAATCTTCTGAGATATCTCTCGTCACATTTGACAATGCTGTTCTGTTTGGTTTGGTTGGGTGGGAAAAACAAAGTTCTTCCATGCTTCAAGAACAGCTGCAGTTTGACTTTGCATATTATTATCTATATGGATACACAGGAACCATATTTTTTTCAATGCTTCTCAGCTTAATCAAGAAAAGGTGGTGGGAATCGGTCAAAGTTAGAAGTTGGTTGTGGATAAAAGGAAAACTTGAAAAAGCATCAATGTCTTATTAAGAGTGGTGGTCAAATCCTGTGTTGTGTCAACCACCTTATTGTAAATCTGGGACTGAATCTTGATTTAAAAGGTCCATTGGACTCAAATCTTTCAATAAATTTGGCTTTATATAGAAAAAGACCAAATCAACAGATATATTATTTGTCTGGATATTCCTTTTAATGACGCTGAAATATAACGGAAAATTTGAACAGCATGAGTAGGTGGAGAAGTTAGTGATACCTTTTGTACTTAGAACTGAAGATGCTGGTAAATCTTTATAAATTCAAGTACCATTTTGAATTTAATATCTCAAGATTTTAGTGACATTTTAACTTCATTGTCAAAGACAGAACAACAAACACCCAGATGACTAATAACACTCATTTATTGCAATTTGACCTTCATCACCATGTAATAATAAATATTAATGGACAGCTATTTCACGAACCTGCACTTTTCAATGACCATTTCTTTGAGATTCTTTAAGTGCACCTCAACCTCGCATAGCTGAAACAACATGTAAGCAAACTCATTAACCGTCTGATTTACTATAAAGTAATGCAATAGATTTTACACACAACTTAGAAAGAAGATAGTGTATCAACCGAAAGGCTTATATCCTTTGCCATATTGGCATAAGTAGCTTCTTGAGCAAGCTGCTTTTCCAACTGCATATGTGCTTCTTCCTTTAATTGTTCACTTTCCTGAAATAATCACATTAAAAAGTACGGATATTTGGTATAATATTCATAGAATGACTAAAAATATAAGAAAGTTTCATTCATCCAAAGAAAGGAAAATATTTCGGGAAAACAGATTACCGCATGAGCAACTTCAGGCAACAGCTGTAGCCATTTCTTTTCAAATTTTTCAAGCAATGACTTTGCCATAATGTGGATATCATGTTTTTCGTTGTTGTATTTCATTGCATTCTTAAAAATCAACCTGACATCAGAATATATCTCACGCACGTTCTTATAACCAGAACCATCCTTGGCATCCATTTTCTTTTTTATCGTACTGAAATCCATAGGCTTCGCAATAATCTAGGAGAAGAAAATTAAACAAAATATTTTAATAACGCAGTAAACAAAGAACTCTGTTAAAAAAGTAGTGTTTTTCTAAAAGCTTACAAGTATACATGCTTTAAGTTAAAAATGATAATGATTTCCAAAGTGATTCTGTTGAAAGGTGTCAAAAGAGGACTAAATCTCTATTTGATCCTCTGAAATATCTCTCAATGTTTGGTTGTGTAGTTAATTTCTTTTCCTATATAATAGCTAGTAAATACTGTATTCTGTATGATTACTCTGTGATTGTTTTTGTTTAGCTTATTTTTCTGTAATTCATTATTGTCATATTTATTTCCATTACTAGATTCCATCTTTCACCTGACGTAATTCTTCTCTATAAAGAGGGGAACCCTACACAAATGAATTATCAATAACATTTATTTCCAAATCTATTCAGAAATGCTGATTTTTCTTCTTTTAATTGTGAAGGTTCTATTCTTTCCAAAAGTCACAGAACTTCTTACTCTCTCAACCTTATCATGCATCTAAACCTTTTCATTTAATCCATAGTGATAAATGGGTCCAACAAAAATTACATCCCAATTTCGAAGGTGATTCATAACCTATATAACTAGTAACTATATTATTTTCCTGTATTATTGCTCTGTTATCGTTTTTGTTTAGCTTACTTTTAGGTAATTCTCTATCGTCATTTTCTCTCCTTTTTAGGATTTAATTTCCTCTCCTCTATAAAAAGGAGGAAACCAAAGATTAACCCTCAATAATATTTCATATTTTCAACTCAAAAATAATATATCTATAGCTTTCCTTGTTTAGATATTTACAGTTAAAATCAAGAAAAAGCCTTTAAAAAGAAAAGAAAAATTAAATACCTCATGATAGTCATGCAACCCAAGACCTTCAACATCTACAGGCTCCAAGAAGGGCCAAGCCCATTTATGCTCTGCTATCTGAGAAGAAAAAAAATGTATCACTATTGATTTTCTGCAGGAAACTCGGTGCAGTAAATATAGAAGATTCAACATAATAACAGGAGGTCATTCATTTATATAACCAAGAAGATAAACGATTACTGCACTGTTATTCTCAGTCAAAGTAAGATGGTAGTAGATATTCTTTTCAAGAAAATAAACACATCTAAATATGATAATTTATTTATTTTATTTAAATTTAGTTGGGTTTTAAATATTTCATAAATTTAAACATTTTCAATTCAGGGAGACAAATGCATGCTTTGCAACAAAGAAAATGAGTAAAAAGGGTTCATACTAAGGCAAGAGCAAGTTATGACAGGGTCACATGGAGCCTCATAGAGCCATAGGCAAGATGACAAGTATGTGATGTATGTATGCTAGAACATAGTAGCAAAGGGAATACATGGAATTTCAATACAGGTCCCATCTGGCTAACAAGCACAACCAATTAATGGCAAAACAACTAATGCTGTCTATTACTGAAAGCTGATCAAATGGTTCTGATTGATCAATGGTTCAAGTTCAATTCATGTAGGTCCAGTAGAAAGAATATTGACACCAATTTCCCACGTAGGTCCCTGATTGCATTATCTTAACCCACAATTGAAATATGAAATAACAAAAACAGTTGCAGGGTATTTCCACTTGCCTGATGCAATATTGTGGAAAACTGTTGTATAACCTCTTGCATTGCGTTTGAAGAATTAGGTTCCTTACTTGATGCACCTTGCTGTGACCTTCTACTGCCAATAACAAGCTTCTCCCGGCCTTTGTCTTTGACACTATTAACTTGAGCTTTAGTCGAAAGGTAGAACTTTTCAACCTCAGCAACTTGTTCTTCAAGCTGTAGTGATGACAATTTTTTTTTAACTCATTGTCAAGTTCAAACTTATTAAGCAAATAAATTCATAACAGCAAATTTGTGCCTAACAAAATATAAAGGATTCCCTGGACCTTAAACATGCGAAAAGTACTAAATACATGGGGAGTCCACCCTAGAAAGATATGTACTAACGGGGAAGAACCAAGCATTTAAGCATTCCATCAAACACCACATACTCTTCCGTACGAGACTTGGGCACCTCATAATGCCCAAATTCTTATCACATTGATAAAAGGTCTCAATGCTATTTCATTCATACACACCAGCTAACAGTAATGTGTATTCTAGTTTACATCTACGATCTACCCCATCACAGTAACTTACGGAAGGCAAAGGTTGAAAACGAAAACATCAAAAAAGAGAAAAAAATCATTAAAAAGGTCATTGTTCCAACTCCAAGGTATACCTAGGAAAATAGAACTAAGAAGAATGACTAGAATTCCCAAAGACAGCACTTCAAAAGAAGCCAAAGTCTATATTCTCCCATGTTCTTTACAAGAAAAATGAGAATGAGCAAGTGAAGCTCATAACTCTGCTCTTTAGTTTCCTAGTATATTAAAATTTCCATGCAACATTAGAACCCTGAATCCAATAAACATAGGACGGGTGAAAAGAACACAAAATAAATAGTACAAAGATAACCAGCGGTAATTCTATATGATGTAAATAAGCTTCTTATCACATGAAGACTTGCATTATAAATATGATAATCAATCATCGTGGAACAGGCTAAAAGTCAGCAATTTATTGAAATACACCAAGAGTTTATAAAAATCATAAAATAATTTCCAAATTCACAAAGATTCTCAGTACACTCTAAATATCCTCCCTAAATTTGAAACAAGAACCACGACACAGATACAGAAGTTCAGTTCCATTAAAAAAACATTAGCTTTATGAAAAAAGTTTCCAAGAACTTGTACTAATACCCCCAATTCGGCTATAAAACATGTTAAATAACCTATTGCAGAAGTGCCAAACTATTTCAGCTTCCAAAGCAAAATTTCAGAATCCAAATCAAATTTGTAGGTAAATCTCATTCACCAACTCTTGTGCAAAACAAATCAACTTCAGCTTTGAATTCAGACTTAACTCCCTCGAGTGAATCAATTACAAAAAAAGGGTATTGGCAACTGACAGAAAAAAAAAAAGTACCAATTTTTCTACCATCAATTAATTTCATATTGTAACCCTAGAAATTATAGTTAGGAAAAAATAAAGTTACATCATCCATTGATCGAATTGAGGATTAAATGTTTCAGTGGGTTCATGCAAGGAGTCTTATTTAGTCCAACATGATAAAGCATCTCAGTACCAATACTATATAGTTATGGGGAAATGTTCATATTAGTCTCGCACGTGACTAGTACGACAAGACATGTTAGGTCTATACCAGAAAAAGAAATACTTGAAGTGTGACAAGAAACAGAGCGGAAAAGAAAACAAAGAATTAAATGGGTCCTACTCATACTCCAATAGAAAAACAGAGACATGGTTATGAATTACGAAATGAGAAGTCACCTTTTGAACTTTGTTGAAATTTTCACTGACAGAATACCTAAACCGGTTCAAATCCTCCTTAATTGCATCAGGATTTGGATCCATTTCCTCACAAATTTTTTTTCTGGGGGGTGCTACTTTTCAATCTGAGATTATATAGGTATGAATCCCTAAACTTTTTTCCACATCAGAATTTCCAACTGGGAAACATCGATTTAACCTAGTTTGCTGGTTGATTCTGTGATTTTGATTCAATAAATAACACATTAATTATGATATTTTGAACGATCTGATTAAATTGATCGACCCAGCACAAAAACAAAGATTGAATTTTTAAGAACGGTGGAGTTAATGGGTGATTGAATCCTTAAACGAACGAGGACAATTTATTAAGGTGGCATCATGTGTTGAAGTTCTCAAACTCAAACTCACACTTCATAGCGTTATAACGTTATTAAAACTTTCCCTAGGAAAGAAACTGCCGTCTCGCTGTCCATTTTTGAATCTTTTATCTACTTTCAAAAATAAAAAATACTCCGTCTATTTCACTCTAAAAATATACAAGACGACTAGCATTGTCTTCCATCTTGGCAAAAAAAAATTAGTAATTTAAAACATTTGAGTTTAGCCAAATTATTCTTTGTTTGAATTATGTAAATTAATAATTTCAAAGAAAATAAAACATTAGATGATATATTTGATACTCCAAAATATATTGAGAAATTACATTTTTATTGTCGATGTATTAATGTATATGTTGAATTTACCAAGTTTATACTCGTACCATTTTCATATGGAGTGTCTAGTGTTCTTTCCATTTGTTGTATTGTGGAGATATTCTGCCTAAATTTTTTAGAAATTATTTAATAATTTTCTCTCTGATTAGTTTCTATCTTCTAGGAAATTTAATTTTTTACTCAAAATTCCTCTATAATCTACTAATTTTTTTATTTCATTTTTTTACTAAAAAAGTGTATATTTGACATTCAATACCTTGCAACAAAAATTAACTTTTTCTATTTGCATTCTTCATCTGCTTTTCCTAAAAAATATCATATAAAAATAAGACAAGTATTTTAGACTCAAACCTTCCTTGTCCTTTGAAGTAAATATCCTATCCCAACCTCCCTAAACTAACTTTCCACTTTCCTCACATTTTTTTCAAAAGAAATTTCTTTGTATGTTTTTCATCTTTTACTTTACATCTTTGGGTAACTTGAAGAAAGACAAATATATGTATTTCTCTTTGTTCCATGGTCACTCTTGCCAGTTTTGCTTGTATATAAGTTCATTTTCAATCCAAATTAGCATAAGTTCAAAATATTTCATTACACTTTTCAAAGTCAATATACTATGAATTGTTTTGTTCTCCAAAAAATATGATTGTAAATCTTAGTGTGCTGAAATCTTTCTAAGGTAGAGAATTTTGTTATAAATGTCTAGTGAGTAGATAGCCTAATGAAATCTAAGAGTTGATAATCTAATGACCAGAACAATAGTTTTCTTTAGTGGATTGGTAATATTTTTTAGATTTTCTTTGTTAGGATTATGTTTTTAATTCTCATGAATTTGTATGTGTCCCCTTTATAAAGATGAGTTGATGACGAAATATAAAGTATATAATTGATTTTTTTTTAGTTTATCATTGAATGTAAGAATTTTGTATTGGATCCTCCTTTTATTCCTTTACTTCTAGATTTGTTATGTATATAGAGATTGATATTTTTTTTTATATTTTCAAAATTATACTAATATTTATCTCCATAAGGTAGATTTTGTATAATATGAAACCTAGAATGTTATCATCGGATGATCTTATCTCGGTTTATCCATATATGTAATATCATTTTAGCATGTTCACTTAAGATAGTTCGATCACACTAAATGGAGATAAAGTTAAATAATTGATAAGGAAGTGTTGTATTAAAAGTTAAGGTATCCTAAACCATCTTAAACTAGGTCATGCATACTCAACCTAAACCCATATAGGTAAAGACTCATAAATGTAATACAAAAAGGTATCACTCACAAGATATGACAACAAATTCATTAACTATTGCATTTTGTTGTCTCTTACGTCTTGCTTACTTAAGTCTTATTGTAGACACTCTGACTGAAGGACTTGGAAGATCTTAGTTTGAAAAGAGAAAGTGCAATCAAAAGTTAGAAGGTAGACACGAAGAACCAAGTGGTACATCTTGACCTTACAAAAACTTCTATTTTCATCCTTTAGGTTCAATGCATTCAATTTTTCTATCAAATTATCTATAAAATTCAGATTATTTTTTATTCTACCTTTTCAACTCCAGATTTTTCAAGTTTTTCTTTCAACACCTTACATCTTTTTTGTATGTTTTAGTAACCAAATTTGAAAACACGATATCTATAAATTAATAGTTAAGTATCTCAAATATTTCAAGTGTTTAATCCATTTTAGATGTTTTAATCCTAGTAGAAATTTATCTAATATGTTTTTATTCAAAAGAAACTAAGTGCTTCAAGTCCAACTTTCCAACAATTATTGTGATTCCAAAAACGTATTTGTTTTTTTATTTCCTTAAGCTTTATATAAGGTAAACATCTTTCTATATTTTTCTTGTATACACAATATATTTATTTCCTCCTTTATTACTCCCACATCTTCATATATCTCCATTTCAAGAACTATGAATTCTTTGGTATTGTAACATAATAATTTTATGGATAATTTTTTTATTTTTATCTCTTTATTCAAGGGCAACAATTTCTTCTTTTCACTCTAAATGTACCATCTAGGCTCTATGTCCTCCTAACTTCCATTTCATAATTGAAGTATACTACATTACATGTTTCATACTCTTGATTATATACAAATACTAATATATAGAGAACATATGCTAGCATAACTTTAATTTAGATAATGATGGTAGATGCTATCATTTTTTTATTGTATGTGCCTTAATACTGTATTTATAAATGTTCAAATTTTGATTGTTATAAATCAATGTTTTCATTAATTTCTTAACTAATTATGATAATGTAGTCCTTGAAACATTATATATGATATTATTGATTTTTGTTCTAGCTCATTTGTCTAACATCCCACTATTTCTATTAATTAACTATCACATATTTCATATAAATCAATGACAATAAATCTTACTTTTTTTATATAAAAAAACTAAAAATGAATGTGGAATCCTAAATAAATTGTTATCAAATATGAAACATATATAATTGAAAATATCTTCTTTAAAATTGTTTAAATCCATACATATCCTTTAAAAAAAATCCAAACATATCCAAAATGAAATTCTATGAACTGATTTTTCACTACACAAATTAACACAATACTTTATAATATAAAATTCTCAAAAAAAAATTGAGAAACATATCCAAATTTTAACTTGTATTCCTCTCCTATCCAAGGTAATCGGTTCTCTATGTAATTTCTTTTTATAACTATTTATAAAAAAAAATATCATACACAACAAAAATCTCAATCACCATAATTGTTTACTAATTTTTAACCAATTCATCGATTTTCAGAAAATCAAGATTTTAAGTAAAATCTTCTATTATTAAATATCATTCATTCTGCTCTCTAATGTGCCAAGGATCTTCTTTGTACTTAATTTCAGAGATCTCATACACAATATTTTTCAAATCAAAGTAGCACAGAACATACGTTTTTCTCACATAAATAATGAACTCTATGTAATAATAAAGTTTTCATATTTAAAATATCAACCACAATAATTATATATATATATATATATATATATATATATATATATATAAACTATAACATTTTAATATATATTAATCACAACAATAATAATTTATATCAACAGCAGCAATAATTTATATTAACAACAACAATAATTCCACACTAACAACCAACAGAAACTCTAAATATAAATAACATAATTTTTATAGCAATACTATCTTATTTTCTCAAAAAAATGCAACATATATAATATAATTAATTTTTTTCTTAAAATTGATAACAATACAATCTTATTTTCTTAAAAAAAAATACAATATATATAATATAATTAATTGTTTTCTCAAAATTTATAACTATAATTAATTTCTTAATTCAAAATACAACATAAATATCCTTCTTGAGTAATTATAATAATTTAATCTCTTTTTAGTTAAAATCAGTATAATTAACAAAGTTGTCTACCTTTATTTCTCCTCTTAAAATATCTAAATATTCTTCAATAATTAATTTTTAAATATATGTATTCACTCTTTATTTTTTTAATTAAAAACAACACACTCTAAAATAAATGAAAAATATAATAAACTATATATTTATTTAAAATTAATTTAA